GCCTACTCTAAGTGCCCACTTAGAGTGATAACTCGGCAGCTCCTCCTCAAGGTCCCATATTAGGATGAGTTAAAAACACAAAAGGATCCAGGGCCAAGTCTGTTTTTGAGTTTCCTTCTACCAGCTGACCAAATGTCATTCTCCTAAAAAAGCCACCCGGATCCAGCAACAGGCCACCGATGACAGTAGGGCAGCCGTACTGGGAATGCTCCTTTGGGAAGAGATTGTGTTTGCAGAGACACAGCCACAGAAAGGCAGTTTGAGCTCTTCTGGGGCTTCAGAAACCTTGCCCTGAGGAGACAGGTCCCCAGGGGACTCACCTCCCCAGGGTGGGCTCTCAGGCCTCAGCTCCGCTCCGGTTAGCTGAGAGGTGCCCTGGCCGGGGACAGGAGGCAGCAAGCCTCGGGTCACCTCAGGGTGCTGGGGTCCAGGCACAAGGATTTCCTTCAGGCAGTTGATAAGGCCTTGCAAGGGGCTGCTCCCAGGAGAGGTTCCTACAGCACCTGCAAGACCAGCCAAGGTCAGGGCCGCCCTGATGACGGTGGCTATGGGACTCTCAGAAGGTCTGAGATTCCCACCTGTGTGAACAGGGACACCTGCCATGTAGGGCCGTCAGGGGGCCGAGATGAGAGAGCCACCTGACGGGCCTGTGTGAAGCGAGCATGCCTCCGTTTCCCTCCCCCGCTCAGCTACGGGGCACACCCCGCTCCCGGCAGAGCCAGCCCCTCACCTGTCCCCAGGGTCCCTCTCTCCTGTCCTCCGTGGCCCTCCTGTCTGCTGGGGCTAGAGGGAGGGGGGCTGGGCTCCCCGCCTGGGGCTTCTGGGCCTTCCTTCTCTGTAGGTCTTGGTTTGTCAGGAGTTTCTGTCACAGGAGAGACAGAAAGGTCTTTCTAGCCCTGGCTCCTGGCCCTGAGGAACTGCCCCAGATTGGTCCCCATAGAGGACAGGCCTCTCAGCCCCCCACACATCCCTGGGGCGCAGCCAAGTCCTGGAGACTTGGATTTGTGGCAGAGGCAATTCCTGCAGGCTTGTCCTAGGAATCTGTTCTGGCAAAGGCAGGGCTCCTTTCCCTGTTTCCTTCTGGTGTCATTGTAAACACCAAGACTGCTTGCTCTGAGCAACACGGAACCCCCCAACTCCAGCCTCTGACTTTGGCTCAATAAGAGAGTCCGGCAGCCTTGACAAGCAGGGCCCCATCTTGTACTCACGCTTCTCAAATCTGAGCATGTGGACCCCCAGAGCAAATCTGCCAAGTGACACCTAAAATGGGGTCTGTTTTTTCAGGAGATCCAATTTTAGTCCATATTCATTTAAAATATTTTAAATGAAAGATATTCCAACAAATGCAAAATTTGCAAGAATTTTTAGAAATACCACGAGACCCCAGAGAAATTCTAGTTGCCCTCCTCTGCTGTTAGGGCTGCCTTGGTGAGAAGGTCTGAGACTCGGGTCAGGCGCACACAGGGGTGTCCCTTGCCAACAGGCCGGCATGTTGGAGACTGCCTTCCGCTCCCTGTGCATGATCACACAGGACTCTGCAAGCAGGGCTAGGAGAGAGCTGTTCAGGGACCGAGTATCACACTTCCTCTCTGCTCTACAGACAGAGGCCCTTGTCCTGCTCTCTGGGGAGCGAGCCCACTTTAGCAATAAGAGAAACTGAGTCCTAGAGATAATGAAAAGGGCACAGAGTCCAGTCCCCCTGCCTCCAGGGTCAGAGCCCTGCCCCTGCTGGGTCGCACTCACCGATGGGGATGGGGCTCCCCTGGCCCCCGGCTCCAGGCAGGCTGCTGGACGATGAGCCCCCGCTAGATGTGGTGGCCTGGTGGGGCCAGCCGGTAGGCGTGTCTGGAAGGCAGCCGAGCGGGCCTTGGAGAGGGCAAGTCTCCACAGTCACAGCTGCTATTGGGGAGGAGGGAGAGGGCACTCAAAACTAGACGTAAGCCCAGCAGTGGGTAAAGCGCCCCCACCACTGTCCCATCCGGGCCTTCCTCGCCCTGTGCCGTTGACAATGACCTGGGTGTCAGTGTCCTCTGCATTGTCATTCCCGGGCTCTGAAACATAGGTTCATAGCCCCAGTCTTGTTCTGATAAGATCCTCCCCACCCCCACTTTCTGTGTCATCTGCCACTGAGCAGGCTCAAAGGCCAGGGCTGGTGGGGACAGACTTCTCGAGGAAGTACGGTCTGACCTGAAAGCACCCAGGGAGCAGAGCAGGGGGCAGGACCATGATCCGAGGATATGGGCAGAGCACAGGCTGGGGGACTGGGCCCCACCGGCCATGCAGACTGGGCACGGCATCCTTCTCATCTCCAGAACAGGACCTGGCCTCACCCGCCACACGGGGCATGATGCGACGGGCAGAAACCAGCATGAGAAAGGCCAGGAGCCCTGTCTCACGCGCTACCCATGCCTTCTCGGGGGCAGACATGCTACCAGGGAATTCGTGACCCAGACCGCTGCACCTAGGGTCTAGCAGGGGCTTGGCAGGCCCACGGCACCCAGCTTGAACTCGATATTGTCCGACTTACCCTCGGGGCTCCCCTGCTCCCCGTCCGGGCTGACTGCCCCGCTCCCACTCTCACTCTCCGGGCTGACCTCCCCAAACAGGAACTCCGGAATCTCCTTGACCAGCTGCACCAGGGCAGTGAGGTGCAGGCTGTGCGGGGGTGTGCCTCCTGCCGGAGAGGCCGCAGTGAACCCCCACACCCCCAGCTCAGCACTCACGCTTCTGCACATGACTACTACCCAGAGCTTCGTGTCATCCTCCTACCACGTGGGTAGCAGCCCAGAGGAGACTGACCTCCGGGAAGTAAAAAGGATCTGCCCCAGGCACAGCCGGGACTAGGGGCTGGGGACTCTAGGTAGTGTCCCTCATTACCTGGTACTTCTCCAGGGGGAATGCCACAGAGGGCGGCCTCCCCACCCCTCCCACTGGCCGGGCCCTCTGCCCTTCCTGGCACCCCTGCCCTTGCGGCCCCACCCAGACTAGGCCCGTGGGCCATAGCTAGCATCTGAGGTCAGCCATGTGGCAGCACCCTCGGAAGCTGCAGGCTGGCTCTGCACATTAGTGGCAGGAAGGAGGCCTGAATAGGGGGTGCTCTCCACGGGTGACCCCAGGTTTCTTCCTAGCATTGCATACAACGGGCAACAGTGTGCCAGGCTCACAGCCCAGGGGGGCAAAGGGTGAAAGGTCACAGAGAGATTTGGGTATAGAGTGTGGCAAGGGCTGAGGGCACAGTGTTCCCTGAGGAGTAAAGCCAGGGGCTGAGGACCGCATAGTAGAAGGGACTAGAGTGAGTCCACCTGGGCCCAGGACACCCAACGGGGCCTGACCCTCAACTATCAGGATTACTCACCCCGGGGGCCTCCTCCCCTAGGAGGCTCCTGCCCCTCACCAGCGTAGCTCCTGCCTTCCGTGGCTCCTCCAGGCTCCGTAGGAGACAGGAAGGCAGAGAGGGGGAGCAGCTCATCTGTCCCTGGGAAAGAAAAGAGGGAGGGACAGCCCCTGGGAATGGAAGCTGGCCTCCACCAACCACAATCACGCATGCACCTGTTTACGTGTGTGTTCACGTGATCAACCAAACCCCAAGAACTGCGGGGCCACCGGACGCTCAGAGACCAGGCTGCTCAGTGTTTGGCTCGTTCTGGGGTGCCCCGACCGAATCTTACCCACAACCCTGTTGCAGACTATGGAAACAACAATGGCATAAAAGATCTGCGAGGCCCTCAGCTCAGCCTGAGGCTCTCGGAACACCACCTCAAACTGTATTCATTTTGTAGTTAAGACTCAGGCCTGGCGGGCTCAAGGTGACTCAGGACCTGCCTGGTCCTGGATCCCACCTCCCTTCACTTTTCCTCGGGGCGGGGGCGGGCTCCTTACCCAGGGAGCGCAGCGTCTCGTAGTTCTCCCGCATCACGTCGCGGTAGAGTGCCCTCTGCCCTTCCCCCAGCAGCTGCCACTCCTCCTCGGAGAACCTCACGGCCAGGTCCTGGAAGGCCACGGACACCTGTGGGCACAATCTCCAGGGAGTTGGTGGCTCCCTCCCAGCGCCGCCAGCCTCACCGTGTCTCCAGGGGTACACCAGGGAGTGGGGAGCAGTGAGTGTGTGGTGGAGGCCTGACACGTGGGAGCAGGTGAAGGAGTGCTTCACGGGAATCTGCTCACGAGACAGAGATGGGGTTTGGACTGTGTCCACAAAAAGGTACGCTGAAGTCCCTACCCTTGTCCCCCATGAACGTGGCCCTATTTGGAAATAGGGTCCTTGCAGATGTAGTTAGGGTGAGGTCAGACTGGAGTAGGGTGGGCCCCTAACCCAGTATGACCAGTGTCCTCATAAGAAGAGAAGACACACAGTCACACGGGGAGGAGAAGGCGTGGTGACAATGGAGGCAGAGAATGAAATGACAGCCACAAGCCAAGGAAACGTGGGACCACCGGAGGCTGGAGGAGAGTAGAGGTGTAGAGCACCCTCTGCCCCTCCCCTAGAGCCTTCGGGGGGGCATAGCCCCCCACCGCCCTGGCTGGGGTTCCCTCGCCTCTGGCACAGTGAGAGGATCCACTTGCCGGTGAAGCCTGCCAGTTTGTGGTACTTCGTTACAGGTACCCTGCCCCAGAAGCCCTCACAGTCCGTGGCCCTCAGCCTGGGCCTAGGAAAAGGCTGACCCCAGGCTGGGAAGCCCAGCCAGCTCTAAATTCACCACGGGAGAGTCACTGCAGTTAATAAGCAAACTTCGCCTCGACTGTGCAAGGACCTGAGGTCCTATCGCTGCGGCGTTAAAACAAGATCATAGATAAAATGAATAGTAAGTACGACAAAGAACAAAACACTCCGTACCTTTTAGTGGGGATGACGCAACAGTCAGGAATCAAGCAGGCAGAATGCTTACGGGGCTCCTCCCAGCCACACCCCAAGACAGAGAGCGAGAGAGAGCATCTCACACAGCCCGGGAAGTCTCGAGGAGGCCAAGGCTCCCACACCAGGGCAGATGACCGTGCGACCAGGGATGAAGAACAGCCATCGACGCACCCCTGCTCACTGGTGGTGATCCTCAGACCCCAAATCCTACGGCCCAGCTGCTCTGCCGGACTCCAGGCCCATGCTGGGCTGAGCCTGCCCTCACTTTCCCAGTCTCACTTGACCTTCAGGTCCCGGCCAGCCACCGTGATCCCCGTGGCTGTGACCCATGGCATTTACCACCAAGCCCGTGCAGCACATGGATACTATGCTCTGCAGGAGCCCTTCCAGGCCACCAGTCAGGCCTGCTTGCCCCATCCCCTCTCCCCCATCCCAGCCCCCTCCTGGACCTCTCCACTCTGCAGCCCTGTGGGCTTGCAACCTGGTATGCTGTGGCCTACTCTGCAGGGAAGGGCCTGGAAGAGACGTGGAATCACCCTTGGACAGCATCCCCTGCTTTGTAAGAAACATTCTGTCCAAACTTCTTTAAAAATCCTAAGTGGGCTTTAAAATGGCCATCAGACCCCAGAAGATTACCAGCATCTGATAGGCATGTATTTAAAATTACAGCAAAAATTTGTAAGAAAAATGACTGAATAAAATGAAAACACTCCTAATAAAGAAGTTAATCTACCGCCTTGTTTCATCAAGTCAGTGACTTTAAAAACCATCGCTGCTACCAACTCTCAGCGTTGTCACCACCAGCATCTGCCCCCCACTCTGCCCGTCCCCCTGACAGCTGGAACCGTATGGTCACGACTGCCCTCCACTGCGCTGCTGAACTGGTCAAGACCCTGCCCACACAGCCGGCTGGAGGCAGCCTCTCCGCGGCCTACTGCCTTTGGTCCAGTGGTTCTCAAGCTCTCCCGGCCAGCCAGCAGACCTTCTGGAAGTCCTCCCCACCCCTCTAGCCCAAGTACAGTGTCTCCCTTTCAGGAACACGCTCAGACACCCTCAAAAACATCTCTCAAAGAGCCATCCCCATTTCTTGCTGGATTCTGGACAGATACAACACAGCCAACAGTAGGGTCTAGCTGCTGACCCTCTCCCCGTGCCCTCTCTATGGGACGCAGGTCATGTGAACTGCAGCCAGCCTGAGCATCTCCCACCTGACGGCCACTGCCGGAGATCAGGGCACGTGGCCGCTCCTCTGCAGGCCAGGTTTCCCCGACACAAGCTACCCTGCGCGTGCACCAGGTACGCAAGACACTCAGCCTACCTCGGCCCGGCCCGGCTCACCTGAACACTCGCATGTTATGGGCACTCTGCTGGATGCCAAGTGAGCTGTGTCCCATGCAGGCTCTATTCTCAAGGGACATCAGAAGTGGGATCATTTGTTTCGGAGCATTTCAGAGCTCTCATCGATTAACAAAACGGATCTCTGCAGGCAGCTGGTCAGACACTGTTACCCCACGTGTGGGGTGAGGGTTCACACAGTGCCAAGTAGGGAAGCAGCGAGTGGAGCTGGTAGACCACCACAGCGCCAAGTCTAGGAATGGGGACCTCTGAGCTGAGATTTCGGTGCTTTTTCTGCTGTGCTTAATTGTGACTGTAATAACCAACGACCTTGGTAAACCTTAAAAAAACAACCATCAAACATCTCATTTTTCAAAATTATTATTTCCCAGTCAAGTTTGTAGTGGCAGATCTTGAGTTCAAAGACATGTTCCTGTAGACACTGCTGAATGGCAGAGTCCAAATGGCATTGCTCTGGCTGGGGCGGAGAACGTGGGAGAAGGACCCAGCAGAGTCACGTGACACTGGGGGGGGTGAACTAGTTTATCCCGAGATGTCAGCAGACAAGTTCTCTGTTTAACAAATTGAGTGAAAAATACTCTCTCCTCAGCTTCTCCCATCAGAAGCTTTTTCCAGGGGCTCCTGGGTGGCTCAGTCGTTAAGCGTCTGCCTTCGGCTCAGATCATGATCCCAGGGTCCTGGGATCGAGCCCCGCATCGGGCTCCCTGCTCAGCAGGAAGGCTGCTTCTCCCTCTCCCACTCCCCCTGCTTGTGTTCCCTCTCTCGCTGTTTCACTTTCTGTCATATAAATAAATAAAACCTTTAAAAAAAAAAAGCTTTTTCCAACCATCATAATGACTGAAAAAACAAAAGTGCTTTTAGGTTCAAACGATTTACTTCAGGTTCTTTTTAATTAGGGCTGATTTCCCTGCCTCATCCTTGATTTACTAAATCAGGAGTAAGCCCAGAAATCTACGTTTTCAAGCCTCCCGTGATTCTGACACATTCTCAGTTTAGAGCCACAGGGCAGGGGAGCACTGCAGCCCAGTCACAGGCTGCGGTCCTGCCCAACCCTGCTGGAACCGAAAAGTATGCCGGGGAATGGACCCCTGAAAACAGACTCGGCCCTCTTTCTTCCCAGGAGCCAGCTCTCAAACGTTGTGCATTTGTGAACCAGAAATCAGACAACTGCCTAGACCTCTAAGGAGCAAGGATCATTTAATGCCAATTTCCACCCAAACTGGGATGTCCCTTCCATTTCTCCTTGAATGCCTTCAGTAATGGGTGGCTCACCACATTCCCGGCAGCTGGTCCTATCCCTGGCCCAATCTGGCATTTAAGAAGTCCTGGACACAGGGGCGCCTGGGTGGCTCGTCAGTTAACCGTCGGCCTTCGGCTCAGGTCATGATCCCAGGAGCCTGGGATGGAGTCTCGCATCAGGGCTCCTTGCTCAGTGGGGAGCCTGCTTCTCTCTCTCCCTGTGCCCCTCCCCACCTGCTCGTGTGTTCTCTCTCTCTCTCTCTCTCTCAAATAAATAAATAAAATCTTTAAAAAAAAAGGAAGCAGCAGCAGTCCTGGGCACACAGATGAGGTACCGCATGGAAGTCAGAGCTGGTCCTCAGGAGCCAGGAGCCAGGCTGCCAGAATTCCAATCCCTGCTTTGCTTCCTATTAGCTATGCGACCTTGCCAAACTACTTAACCCACATGGGCCTTGGTGAACTCATTTATAAAATCAGGATCATAACGACCTGCAGCATGGGGATGTTGTGAAGAGTAAATGAATTAATACAGGAAAAGTGCCTGGAACAAAGGCTGGGATGTCGTAAGCGCGGTAATTAGTGTTAGAGCCCCCGCACCTGTTTGGTCCGCCTGCAGGTCAGAGCCGGAAGCCCCAGCTACACAGAATGGGCTCTTCCTCACACATTACTCCTGACTTCCAGTGCCTCTTTATCTCCTCGCTAAATATACCCAACTCTTTTAGACATCTGGAAGAGATGATTTCCAGGTCTTTCACCATCTCAGCCGCAAGACACATTCTTCAAGACAAAGTTCTTATAAAATGGAAATGGGACCTGACTGTGGCCAGTACAGAGGGTTCAATCAATGGCCTCCCTCTGCCCAGAAAAAGCGGAGGAAAAGTGAGGAGTGCGTGTGTGAGTGAGCAAGCATGAGTGTGCAAACACGTGAGGCACCAATGCTTGCCTCAGGGGAGGGAAACACACTGCTGGCTTGCATCTGGACCGACTGTCTCCTCCGGCCCTGCTTCACCTCCTCTGTGGCTCTCAGGCCTCGCTCCCTCAACCAACTGGAGAAAAGCTTTCTGGATTGACCCAGGACTAATGTAACTGTGCAGCCTCCTAGCTCGCTGCTGCCATGCCGGTCCTCCTAGAACACCCTTTCTACCCTGTCATTAGCCCAGCATGAAAACCACAGCTTCTGTGCCCACGGGACCCATCCATCTTTCCGCAGTCCTTCCCAGCCTAGACCCATTCTCCCAGTATGCCTCAGCCTTGGGTTCCCAGTTTGAACCCTGCACGCTGCTGCCCCCCACTTACGGGCTGTGCTCACACATCCCTGGGCTTTTGGGAGTCACAATGGACAGGACAATAGGCGTTCCCTGTAACTATCCATCTGACTGTTATCTACTGCCCCCCCCCCAAGCCACTCCTAGCCACCTTCTCTGTGAAGCTACACAGTGTGAGGATGCATCCTTCTTGGAACA